ACATCCCGGATTTTTTGGTGGTTTTTGGACTATTTTTATAAACCAAAAAAGGTTCGTGGTGTTTCAGAATAAAAAACCCTTTTCCGTTTTTTGATCTACCCACATTTTTTAGAGTGTGTAATGATAACGTATATTCAAAACTTTTTATTTAGTTGAATGAGATGTTCGCAATACGTAAGTTGCACTCTGTCACATAAATGAAATAAAAAAACTCTAAAATACGTATTAAATACTTCATAAATATAACAAAAATTCTTTTTATTTGAAAAAATTATAGTAGCACTATACCATTGAGATGAGCAAGTTCAAATTGTTAAACTCATCAATATAGAAAAACGAGTAACGACGATAGTACTTTCTCAAAGAAGATGTTCAAATAGCAAAAGAAAAATCATACGATACTAAAAACAGCCTAAAAAGAAAAATAACGATGAACCTAATCTCTCTTCATAGAAAATCATCCAATTATATTCGATTAAAAATTACTACGACAATGAGGACAAGTTGATTTATTACTGGATCGAAACCAACGATACTAAAAATAATGAAATCAAGAAAAAATATATAGTATTTGAATTTAAAAATATTGTCCATCACTTACTAAACACGCATCGTGAAATTTCTTTTTACACACACGACATGTACGCTGTGGTAATTGATTATTTGTATGTAATATACAAAAACAAATTGAACATTCTTCGATTCCTTGCATCATTTTATCAATATTACGTTTCCAATGAAGTAGACCATCGGCAATAGTTCCATTCTAAATGAAAATAATAGAAAGATATATTCAAAAAAATTTCAATACAATTAATGTATATTACATACATGTTGTACAAGATTTGTTTTTAACTGTAACATCCATTTATTCCATTGTTCTTTTGAAAATCCAACATGATGTGTACATTCAATATTAGCAACAACTAATGGAAAATTAATTGGTAATTTAATAACAATTTCTACTCGAGATGTTTCAATTGCATAAATGGCCGTTATTTCTCGTGTTTGAGAATGTTTTTTGATTGTTACACTGCCCGCTTCTCCACTTGATGTTGTCATAGAAGAGGAAGTTGAAGATAGTGTTACTGTCTCTAGTTCGCGTTGTATCAACGTTGGACTAACATATTTTTGTGTTACTTTGTCAACAGCATCACGAACACGTTTTGTTTGTTTATGATACCATTCACGCACTAGTGCCGGAATTAAACTTAAACATTGAATATAAATAGAACAGGCCAAATGGGAAATGGCATAAGAATTATGTTCCGCTAAAATCAAGAAAAAAAAACTTCTATAGAATTGATAATATTTTAAAAATGTCGATAGTGTTGAATTACTTACATTTTGGATCTAATTGGATATCATATTCAAACATTGATTTTGTATTTGTTAACCTTTTTGTTATATTTGAAATAGACATTGAATATGGATCAATAAATTGTGGATTAGCTGGTATTAAACATAGAACAATGGACAGAATACGATCAACTAACTTTTTCTCTTGTAACATAAGTGTATAACGATAACGTGTTTCAACAGTAGAATAACATTTGATTAAATTTAATAAGAGTTTATACGTAAGTAATTCAGATACAAGAATATTATCTTTATCTTTAAACGATGTTGGTTTTATTGTTGATAATCCATCGATTGGTAAGATATATAGCTGAGTTAAAGTAAAATTTTTATTTTTCGATGAAATAATCATCGAATAATTATATGATATTATTCATATAAAGGAAAAAAAAAACATAAAGTGTGACACACAAATGTAATGACATAAATGTCGGCCTTTAGATTTCTCTTCAATAAGACAGGTGCTGAAAGAAAAATCTTTCTTTTTTATCAGAAGA